TAGCCTTGAGAATAACCTTGAGGTTTGTAGTTGTTTTGACCGGCTACCCAATTAGCTTCTTCTTCTTGGCATTGCTCTAGCACGAAGCTCGATCTGGCTCTCGATCTGCATGGGGTCATTTACGTCCGTACTTCAGATCGATCTCCACACTCGATCTTGGTCTCGATCCATTTCCTTGCATCGGCTTGGTCACTCAATCTTTTGGTCGATCTCATCTAGATCTAGATCGACCTGCCTTGCTCGATCTGCTACTCGATCTCGGGTCCTTAGCATGCAATCCTGAGTTTTCCGAGTGTCCACGAACTTCCTCACGAGCCTTAGCACGTCCACGAATCCTCCATAGCTCCAAAGTAGCCGAAAATAACCTGAATGCGATGCATAATGCGAGAAACATGCAAATGCTGGTGCAAAAGTGCTCTAGGACCTAAAATGATGCAAACTAGCCTAATGTGCAAGGTAAATGCATGAGAAACTATCTTATATGTATACAAAACGCACGAAATATGCAGCAATATCATCCATGGAGAAGATCGTGTGAGCTGATTGATCTCGAGATTGATCTCTGGAACCTTATCCGGGCAGCTCATTTTTGGAGCGTAGTGAGGGGACCATTAGGGCTGTTTGGCTATTTTGGGCAAAGGGCGGCTATCACTTTCATCACACACACTTAGTCTTATCTTTTTCCAGCTTTCCTTTAGGCGATTTCTGCCATTGTTCTGTTCTTGAAGTTTTTCATGTTTTGAACCTTGAATCTTTTCAATATTAAGTCTTTTTCTTTAATCGCTTGCTTGTTCATGTTTAGTTTTCTTTCCCTTGCATTTTAATCGGTTTCAAATATGAGTAGTGAGTAGATTTCTTTTGGGTTTAAGGTTTGGGCGATTTAAGGGTTTAAAGGTTTAAGCTTTTGGGAGTTCTTCTTGTTCTTAACCTATTCTCTTCTAGGATTTGGGGTCTTAAAGCTTAGAGAGTCTTGGAAAAGATCTCTATGACTCCAGGGATTTCTTACCTTGACCGGATTCAGAGATCCTTGAAAATCAAATCTTAGAGACTAATCTATCATCTCCCAAACACCATGGATGAAGAGGGGGTTAGCTAAGCCAATATTTGAGATCTTTGTTTAATGTTCTTTGACCCATCTTTCCACTACACTCCATAGGTTAGGAGGAAGGGTCAGAGAAAGGGGTTATACCACACGCCTTGGATAATCCTAGTTTAAGTTTCTCAAGGCTTAGAGATAGCTTTTCAAAAGAGTAGATTTATGTTTTCAAACCCAAAGCTTGAATCTTGAACCTCTTGAATATGACCCTCAACATTAGATCCTCTCTTTTTAGCATTTTAAAACCTCTGTTTATCATTCTCTAGTCATAAAGCTTGATTCTTTGATCATTTGAAGTCATTCATCTAAGTTGTTAGAAGTGTCATGTTTTACCCGTTTCAGTGCTCGATTTTTAGTAATTAGTACATCTGCATTTTAGAGTCTCTGTTTTCTTCTAGTAGTTGTTAACCCTCTTCCAGGGATTTTAAAATAGTTTTCCTGCTTATTTGGTCGTTGCATTTAGTTTTCATCGATTTTACCATCTATTTACCCGATTCTGCTTAGTTCTTGCATTCTTAGTGTTTTTCTTCACCCAGACTGGATTGATCTCCTTTACTGCTATAATACATTGTTAACAGTGGTTCAGGATTTGATATTTAGGCTGTTTATCATTCTGTTTATCAAGAGCCAAAGAGTTTGACGGAATATAAGGCTGCAGTGGTGATGATGGAGGACAGTATGTTTTGTAAAGTGGTTGGGGGTGTCCAGAAACAATCTCCTCCCTCTCGACCTGCCCCTTTTACCCCTTTCAAATCTGCTCGTGTTATTCCACCAGCTACGGTTGCACCCAAACCAGAGGGTTCAGCTCAATTACAATTGACACCAGCAGAGCTGAAGTATAAGAAAGATAATAAGCTCTGTTTTAAATGTGATGCTCATTGGTGAAAGGGTCATATATGTCCCAACAAGGAACTCCGTATTATCATTGTGCTTCACGGCTATGCCATGGAGGTTTTGGACCACAATGATGACGCATGTGCAGAGGAAGAGGACACAGAACCTGCGCCTCAGTTGATGAAGTTGTCCCTAAATGCTTTACTTGGCGTCGACTCTCTAACCACTACTAAACTCAGTGGTACTATTGGGAAGTCTTCCGTGGTGATGATTGACAGTGGTGCTACGCACCACTTTGTTACTCCTGCTGTTGTCAAACAAAGCCGCCTTTCCTTTCGCCCGCAATCAAACTTACAGGTTCTGTTGGGTACGGGAGTCACGGTTCATGGTTTGGGCGTTTGCAAAGAGGTTGATTTTCAGCTGCAGGGGTTATCTTTTCGGAATAATTTCATTTCTTTGGACTTAGGTGGTGTGGATGTGGTTCTGGGGTCCAATGGTTGCGCACCTTAGGTACTTGTCAGGTGAATTGGGACATACATGAATGGAGTTTTCTCCACAAGGGCGCTTGGGTTACTCTTCATGGAGAACCGGAGCTACATAATGTGAAAGTCTCCCTTAAGTCTTTATCTACAGTGCCTAAAAGGATGTCCAAATTGGGTTTGCTAGTCACACAGTGGTGCATGATCCACTTGCTACACCAGATGTGATTCAACAGGTGTTACAGGAGTTTGATCACTTGTTTGCTAAGCCGGTGGGTCTTCCTCCAGTTCGCGGGCATGAACATTATATACCACTGGTTGCTGGAGTTTCTGCTGTCAGTGTACGGCCGTATCGGTATCCCCAAGCCCATAAAGATGCCATGACAACCATGGTGGATGAGATGTTGGATTCTGGCATCATTCGCCCTAGTAAGAGTCCCTTCTCAAGCCTGGTTCAGGACATGATTAAGCAGTCTACGATGGGAACAGCTCTCCGTGACGGGTATGTGGTTGCTGAAGGAAAGTTATGGTTTAAGGGCCATCTCGTTATTCCTAAGAGATCTGTTTTCATTTCACTTATTTTCTTTGAATGCCATAATGGTCTTGCTGGGGGTCACTTGGGAGTCTTGAAGACCGTCAAGCGTATCCAGTAGTTGTTTCATTGGGAAGGGCTGTTTAAACGTGTCCAAAAGTATGTGGCAGAGTGTCAGGTTTGTCAGATCCATAAGTACTCTACGTTGCCTCTGCTGGTTTACTGCAATCGTTACCAATTCCAACTGCTGTTTGGGAGGATATATCATTGGATTTTGTAGAAGGTTTGCCCACTTCTGATGGCATAAATGTGATTTTTGTGGTGGTGGATAAGTTGAGCAAATTTGCCCATTTTATTGGTCTGTGGCATCTGTTTCAGGCAGCAGATGTTGTCAAGAAGTTTGTGTCGGAGATTGTCAAACTCTTTGGGTTTCCTCCCTCCATCGTGTCAGATCGAGATAAGATCTTTTTAAGTTCTTTCTGGAATGAGTTATTTTGTATGGCTGGCACGAAGCTCAAGTTCAGTACCGCCTTTCATCCCCAAACCGATGGCCAGACTGAGGTACTGAATCGTTGTTTGGAGACTTATCTTCGTGGTTTTTCTTCTAGCCATCCAAAACATGGTTTAAGTTTCTTCCTTGGGCGGAATTGTGGTATAACACCTCCTTCCATATGTCCATGAAGACAACTCCTTTCAAGGTGGTCTACGGTCGTGATTCTCCGAGTATACTTCGTTTCGAAGCTGGCTCTACTTCTAACTTTGACTTGGCAACAATGTTGTTGGAAAGAGATCAGATGTTGGATCACACCAAGGCTCAATTGGTGCATGCTCAGCAGTTGATGAAGAATAATGTTGACAAGCATCGGCGTGACATTGAATATTAGGTTGGCGCTTAGGTTTTCTTGAAGCTTCGCCCTTTTCGCCAGCAGTCTGTCTCTAAGCGTGACAGCTTGCTGCTAAGTACGAAGTCATGGAACGTGTGGGCAAAGAAGCGTTTGATGCTCCCTCCTGAGGCTCGCATTCACCCTGTTTTCCACGTCTCTCAGCTCAAGGCGGTGCTTGGAGAGGGTCATGTGGTTTCTCCATTACCTCCGCTTCTGGTGACATGGCGGAGCTTGTGATTACACCTGGGACAGTGTTGGATACGCATTACAATCCCGCAGGGGCATTTGGAGCTGTTGCTTCAGTAGGAAGGGCTTCCTGCTAGTAACAATTCTTGGGTCTTAGCTCGGGATATTCGTTCTCGGTTTCCAGATTTTAAGCTTGGGGACAAGTTAGTGTTTTAAAGAGGGGGGTATTGATAAGCCTCTTAGTCGCTACATTCGAAAAAGGAAGACGAGTGAGCTGCAGCTGCTGAAGATATTATTAGCTGAGCTGGCCTGCTCTTATTCGTTGTTGTTTTTTTCGTATAAGAGAAGAACAAAACAATGGATCTTTTTATCGATTAAATTGTAGAGTGAGGAGAGGGACGTGAGGTCTCCAGACGATTCTCGGTTGAGGGATCGTCATCAGAGGTCACGATTTTAACACTCTTTTTGGCTTATACTTGCAATGACTAACCGAGGAGAAAACCAAAATGTAAGAGATCATTAATGGTATCGTTCTTTTGATATCGTAAATATTACCGCGTTTGTGATTGGTAACAGAAAGGGCGGCACATCTTACACCGTTGCAGTTGGATATTACCAATCAAAGTACTTTGAGTAGAAGATCATTAATACTTCTTACTTTGGTTCAACAAACACAAGATATCAAGAATACAATTAGAGAACAAATTTATTGCATTAGTCTTACAAAAGCAGGCTCTTAGAGGTTTGTTGAAACCCGAAACTATACGAGCCAAACTTCTTATAAAGCATCCCACAAGATTCCAACAACATTAAGACAAAAGAGAGGGAAGGTAAAAACACCAATTTCAGAGAGATTCCGTGTGTCAGATGACACTGAAAAAACTGAGATGTTAATCTCATTGTCCTTAATTACCCCTAACCTTAATCTCTCACAAGCCTCCTCTGATTCTAATAAAACTCTCAGAATAAAGAGTTTATTCCCAATTCAGTTACCCCAACATACACAAATACAAGAGGCTCGTTTAATTTCAAGACCCTACAGGAGCCATGTCTTTACCTTTGGTTGCAGCAGTTGCAGCAGCTGTGGCGGCAGCAGCTGCAGCTGCAGCAGCTGCGGCGGCTGCTGATGCTGCTGGATTAGGAGGTGATGGAGGTACCGGCTGGCTTTGCTTCCCGACTACTTCATGATGTTTTTTCAGCTGTGGAGAGTTGAGATCAGTTAGCAATTCTTTAATCTGCTTTCCAGAAAGAGTTTCATGCTGAAGCAAAGCGTTCGCAAGGGCATGAAGCTCTTTGTTGTAAACCGTGAGGATGTTTTTCGCATTGTTATAAGCATTTTCCAAGAGATGTTTCACTTCTCTCTCGATGAGAAGCCTAGTTTCGGTGCTCATGCTTTTTCCATTGTCATCATAGTTATGTGCCACAAGACCCACCTCTTTGCTCATACCGAATTTCGTAACCATCGCTCGAGCCAGTTTAGTTGCCTGCTCAAGATCAGAAGAAGCACCCGAAGTTACCTCGCTTTCCCCAAAAATCAACTCTTCCGCAACCCGGCCTCCCATACAAACATCAAGCCGAGCAAGCATCTGTTTCCTAGAAATGCTCGTCTCATCTTTATCCGGTAGTTGAGAAACCATGCCAAGAGCCATACCACGAGGCACAATGGTTGCTTTGTGGACTGGAAGAGCACCTTCTGTGTGGATGGCAACAAGGGCATGTCCACCTTCATGGAAAGCAGTAAGTTTTCTTGACTCGTCGGATATAACTGCAGATTTTCTCTCGCTTCCCATCATGATTCTGTCTTTGGCAAACTCAAGATCCGACATTGTCACATCTTTTGCACCATCCATTGCAGCTTTTAGAGCAGCAACATTCACCAGATTCGCCAAATCAGCTCCTGAAAATCCAGGCGTTCCTCTAGCGATGATCATTAAATCGACATCTTCAGCCTTAAGTACCTACAAACACACAATGAAGATAGCCGACCAATTCAACATTTATATCATTTCCTGTATTACACAAGTTATCTGACAGACATGGTTTTTATACTATTGAAACCCCTCTTGAGCTCACTATAATTTATAACAGCTGAAAGGGAACTTTATACTTCTTTTCAGATGTACACAAAGTACTAAATTGTTAACTGTTAATGAAAGATTCAGTACTGCTAGTTGTGGGTTTACTTTCTATCTGATATTAGACACTGAACAATTTTAGTACTACACTGGCTAAGTCCACTATTGCAAAACCAGAGCCATATACTGCAAAATCTAAGTTACCTTTGACATGTGAGACTCCAAAATTTGGCGACGGCCTTCCACGTCTGGGTTAGGTACAACAATATGGCGATCAAACCTCCCAGGTCTAACCAGGGCCTTATCCAATGATTCCGGGAAATTTGTTGCTGCGACCACAATAATGCCTTCATTCTGCTTAAACCCATCCAACTCAACGAGCAACTGGTTCAATGTCATCTTCATGTACTGCTGGTCTTTTGGGTTACGACTTCCTCCAATAGCATCTATTTCATCGATAAAAATAATACAAGGGGAGCACTTCTTTGCAGCAGCAAAAAGATCTCTTACTCTTCTGGCTCCAACCCCAACAAACATCTCTTCAAATTCACTACCACTGCAGGAGAAGAAAGGCACTCCAGCTTCTCCGGCAATAGCCCTTGCAAGCATAGTCTTCCCTGTACCAGGAGGACCAACAAGCAACACACCCTTAGGAAGCTTTCCTCCCAAACGAGTGAACCTCTGTAATAAAGATCAAAAGAACGAAAACTCAAGATGATAGAGTGAGGCCAAAAGAACAAAAAAGTATCAAGTCTAAGAACATTAATGGTCCATATGCTTACTTTCACATGGTTTATGATTTATATTTACATCACCAAACGAAGTTTATATCTAGTTAGAAGAATTAGCTAGCACTGTAAATTTACCTTGGGGTCACGAAGATAATGCACAATTTCCTCTAGCTCAGCTTTTGCTTCATCAACACCCTTTACATCAGTAAATTTGGTGCTCGAGTCCATACTAGGTTGTACTTCTTCATGCAATCCAAGTCCTAACATATATTTAACATAAATAAATTAGAAGGACATCATCCAAAAAACCTATTGAATCACTGAAATTAATAAATCCAAGCCACCTTTGCCAATTCCTCTATCCTCAATAAGTGCTCCAACACCAGATATAAGTAAAAACCCAACTGCAATAGTCCTGAATGTACTCCATAGTTGTTCTTTAAAGCTACTCCTTTCAGTGGATATCGTATGGATCGGTGCACCAGCAGTTCCAAGGGCACCATCTTTTGTTGGTTTTCCTAAGTTTTTGAATGCTATGAGACCTCCAAAAGTCTCTTGCTCCCGTGAAGCACCAGTAATACCTACAAGAAAAGAATAAATTTCTATTATACAAACCTACATAGTACAATTTTTTTTTCCGATATGATAACTGGAAACGGTAAATAAGCTGCAAATACAAATATGATAGTAAGGATCTAAATCTCTCTCTCTTTATCTATCTCTCTTTCTCTGCTTACTCACCTCTTTGCAATGTTCGCACCAGCTCACTGTTATCTAGCCTATCAACTTTGACCAATGCCTTAATGTATTCAGTCAGTGCAGAGGGATTCGAATGCATAGATGGGCTGCTTTCGAATATTCTGATAACTGCTTCAGGGTCGTTTCTGCGAAAAAGCTCTCTCAGTTGTGCAACCTCGTTGAATTCATCTCTGTCACGCACTCTGCGAGCAAAGCTACCAACATAACTTGATTGAAACCTCGATTGCTCCAAAGAAGCTCCACCACCAGCTGAAGCTACAGAAAAAGATAACCCATTGACATCAAAAATGCTTCAGGAACAATGGACAAAATTATAACAAGTTCTTAGCAAGTGAATGAAAACAAAAACAAAAAGAAATACCTCCAACAACTCCTCTAGGAAGAGAAGAGTAGGCTCTGAAAAGTAAGCTTCTTAAACTGCTCAACTCCCGTTCATGGCTCGAAACCTGTCATAGATATGAGTAAACTGCTTAAGTCAAACTCATATTTAACAACAGGCAGATCATGAAAACAAAAGGTAAACTGTTTTTGGTATTCGAATCAACCATAGATGAGGTGAATTTCAATAATCCTAAAAAGAGGCAATTACGAAATTGTTATCCACAGGACGAAAGACAACATTTTCGACGGCAGATAAAAGTTTTTGAGCATCTAGGGTTTATGGTAATAAAGTGAATTGCTCAGCCTAAGCTCCAATTAAACACTAGACAGAACATAAAAACAAAATCTTCAAGAAGGGTGATTTTTTTTGGCTGCTCAAAATCAAAACTACCTGATCTTACACAATTTTCTTGCTTAATTTCAATTAAGTTATTTAGGTTTTCAAATCAACCAATGAGCAATGGATGATGTAAACTTCAATCATCCCAAAGAGAGGAAACTACAACAACATCAACAACAAAATCTCCACAGGACAAAAGACAACACTTTATGGCAGATATAACTTTTCTAGTCTCTAGGGTTTGTAAAAAATATATAATTTTTTCTTCCGCTTTACATCGATCTTTAAACGCTCCATCAGAAAATGATATAAAAATTGATCAAGTCCACTACAGAATTAACCAAATCCGATACCTCTCCCTAATAAAAATATTGGGTAAGAACGAGAAAAATGAAAACAAAAACCTTCGTGATGATGCGCCTCCAAGCCATCAATTAATCGCCTTTGCGACCTATAACAAAATTGGTGTGAGTAGATGCTCGGAAATCGAACACGAAGCTCTTTCTTCTCTCTTGATCTGTATCGGAAACAAAACACTGGTCTAATCCTATAAGTCTTAAAACTGAAAGATACACGTGAGAGGACTACTTTGGTTCTCGGGAGAGAAAAATTGTGCAGCAGGTGCAGACACGCACGAGATATGTGTAGGTCGCCTCTCTAAGGTTCTGCTTAATTGACGTAAATGCCCTTAGTAATATCAAGCAGTGGGCTTTACTTGGCGGCCCAAGTAAGAAACGTGAATTGCACAGGAGGCTACGAATCCGTAAGAGGCTACAAATCCATTTAAAATAACTAAAAATTAATCCATGCAACGCGTAAATCAAATTTTTTTATTTTATATATTTATATTATTATGTTTATTTATTTTTTATTTTATATAGTTTATATGTTTTTTTTGAAATTAAAAATATTACTTTTGTTTTTTTATTATCTTAAAATATATAAAATTATTGTAAAAATTTTTTGCTGATAAAATTGTGGTGTGTGAATTGATAAAAAAATATTTTCTTAAATTTATAAGATGTTATAAATATTTAATTTTTTTACTGAATATCTCTATTTAGTTAGTTTTTCTTTTATTTTTAACTTATTTTTAGTGAGATCTGCAAAGTTAATTCACCAACAGTCTTACTTACTCTTTTTCTTTCTTATTTGAAATAGTATTCTGAATTTGTATGACATGAATTTGCGATGCTATTGTTTTATTCTATTTTTTTAATTTTAAATTTTATATATTTATATTATTATTATGTTTTATCTTTTTAATAATTTTTCGTTCTATTTTTTAATTTGAACGTTTTTAGTTTTTTTATTATCTTAAAATATGTAAATTTGTTGTGAAGTTGTTTTTCTAAATAGAAATTGTAATGTATTAACTGTTAAAAACTCACTTTCATACTTATACGTTCTCGAATATATATTTATGTATATCTCTACTCATTAAATATATTTATTCAGTTGGCTTTTTTTTTCTTTTAGACCACTTATTTTGAGCAAGATCAATAGAAGAAATTCACTATCCATCACACCAAATATCTTTATTCTTTAATCGAAATCATATTTTTATATTACTATTATGTTTATCTATTTGATTTTTGTTCTGTTCGTTTTAAATTTTGAATAATGTTTTAGTTTTCAACCTAAAAATATGTAGAGTTATTGTTAAATTATTTTAAATATAATTTGTGATGTATTAATTATTTAATAAACTCGATCTTATACTTATACGTTATCGTGTGTATCTATATCTTTTCTTTTCATAACTTTATTCATTTTTTATATGTCGCTTATTTTTGAAGAAATTAAAAAATAAGTTAACCATCAATCTCTCACACTTTCTTTATTTCTTATTCGAAATAGCATTCTAAAAAAATTATTTGTAGGTACTTTACATTTTTGTGGCTTGTAAAATAAGTGTTTGTTTTTTTAACTTTTAAATTATGTCATATGAATATCCATGAAATTTGTATGTAAAAGCCCATTTAAATATAAAAATTAGATAATTTATATTTTGTAGTTTGTAAAGTATTTATATACAAAATAAAAGCTCATAAAAATTAGAAAATTAAATGTCCATAAAAATATTAATATTAGTTGCTGAGGTGGATAGCTCCATTGGAGAGAGTTTTCCCTAATAATATATATGATTACCTGTTTTGATATTAGTAAGCTTTTCAAATCTCACCTTGACTTTTTAACCTTTTTTCTCTCCCGTATCTTTCCTTCATATCAAACTCTCGCCGTTGATTTTGTGGGTTCTTCTACCGGTGTTTCTAGATCTGGTTTTTTTCAGATCTACATTTTGGTTATTTTTTCTCTTGCAGATTTTGATGGAGTTTAAGCTTTTTTTCCTTGCGATTTTGGCCTTGTCGTAGTGGTTGTGGGTGGTGTATGTTTCCTTGGGCGTTTTTGTCTTCGAGTTAGTCTGGTCTCAGTCTTCTCCGTTGGTTGCAATCTCGATCTTCCTTCTCTTCGTTGGTAAGTAGTGATACAAGATTTTAGAGGTCTTGATTCAATCATCCAAGCTTGTACTAGTCAGTTGTAGAATAGCATAGGATTTTTATCAATCCAAATAGGTTATAGTTGAAAACAGAAGAGTTGAGAGTAAAAATCTCTAAGTCGAGCAAGCAGAAAAGTGTTTTTGTTGCCTAAGCAACCAATCTAATATCCTAATATGATCAAGCAGCAAAAAGAGTAAAGACAAAGGCAAATTAAACAAAACTGAGCAAGCAAAATAGAGCAAAACAGAGCAAACCCGAGATTCAAATAAGAGAAGGCAAGTTCCTAGATGTGGTCATTGACTTTGGGGAATTCATAGACTAACTAAGGCTGTTTCAAACTACATTGATCAAGCAAACAAGCAAGCAATGGTGATTCCTAGACATAGAGTTCACAATCAAGCAAGCTAGATCCAATCTCTTGTAAAATAGCCCTTTGCTAAACATCTTAACAAGAACTAACTCTCATTAGTGCTAAAACATTAAGCAAGCATTAATAAACAACTCTATTTCAGTCAAAATGCTCCTCAAACAGTCAATCTCTTGAGCCAAGGCCAGCAAATCCTCTATTAAACAAGATCAGCATTTCATCAAACACTTGGTGGGCATAAGAGAAAGCTAACAACCTAGATAAGTGTGATCAAGATAAATCTAGCATTAATAACAGATTAATAGATAGGAACCCATAAACTGAAGCACTAAACAAGCCCTAATCAAGTCTTAAATTACCCTAATCTACCACATCTAGAAACTCTAAACAAACTGCTCACTAATACTCATATTTAACACCAAATCACAAAAGAAAAAGATGTTAATCATGATTAGAAGAGAGAATAATGAAAGATTAAAAGCAAATACTCAAATATATTAAACAAAGCAAAGGATTTGTCTTACAAACTTAAAGAAAATGCTTAAGAACAGTAAATTGACAAGACTTGTCGAAAATCTAGAAAAAGAGGCTATTTATAGCCTAGAGAAGGAAGCCCTAGAGTGATGGCAAAAGTGTAAATAAAACAGGTTCGGACTGGGATTACATCGGTCATAGGTGATCGATGCTAGTGATCGATGTAAATCCCATCGGTCTGGGCAGTGATCGATGTGGTGACCAAAATTCATCTGGGGCGTTTGTGTCGATCACTTCTGATTGATGATGTTGATCGATGTGCTCGTATCGGTCGCCTGATGATCGATGCTTGTGACCGAAAATCTGGTTTCAGTCACCCCCATGATCGATTTTCTCTGTGCTCTGACCAAAAACCTTTGTAGAGATTGTCTGCTTTGATCCCTTTTGCTCCCTTTGATCCAGCTAGCATCCTGAATCATCCCCAAAGCTTATCCAAGCTCCGTTTAGCTCCAAAAGCACCTAAAAACATCTAAAATGCAAGAAAAATGCAAACTATATCCTAAATGCAACCTAAGTCTAAAAAGAGAAGAAAATGAGAGAAAAATTAAGGGAAAACATGCAAAAGAGAACCAAAACATGTACTAAATGCAGTCATAAATGGTGTAAATACAAGAGATATCAACACCCCCACACTTGCCTTTTGTTTGTCCTTAAGCAAATAAGAACAAATGGGAGAGTGAGGTTTGAAGGTGGGCATTCAGATTCCAAAAGTGTAAAGGTAATGAGATGGTATTAGTGCTTAAGTGCCTAGTTGTAGGATGCAAACATAATCAGCTATACTTTAAAGAACCTAGCCATGCTCATCATGTTTCAAAATGATCTCAAATCTAAACTTAGGCGAATGCTCAAATCAACCAACTCTTTAACATTCAATTAAGAACAGAACCATGAATCATGCTTATCCAAATCAAGTGAAGACATTTGGTTGAAAGGGTAAGGTCATGAGATAAAAATGATCTCATTTTAGCAAAGGTTTATTAAACATAATGGATCACTCAATGAAAATGATTTCATCTTAGGCAAAATGCTAAAGGTAAAACCAGACTTATGCATGCAAATCAAAGCTCACTTCTACCCAAAGATGAATCCTAAGCACTTCTAAACCCAAAAGTGAACCCCTAAGTCTACCCTTTCCTAAACTCTACCCTTTACCCTTCTTCATGGCTGGGGAAACTTTTTCTTTTTGCTTGTGGGGTTGCTTCTTTTTGGTTGGGACTTGCTCTTCTTTGTTGTATTGGCACCTTCATCACCTTTGGTGGATTGCTCCTGGTCTAATTTTTCTTCTTTGGACCTTTCTGAGCTTTGTTGCTGGCGCCTTTCTTCTTTGTACTTAGAGCTTTTTCTTCCCTTTACTTAACCACAATTCTAGACTATTTCCCCTTTTCTACCATTTCAGATCTTTTCCTTATCTTCCAAAACATATAC